GATGTAGAAGTTAGAAAGCAGTCAAATTTTTGTACCCTCCAGCTGTTGAAAAGTGATACTTTTAACAATAATTCAATAAGTGCTGAGATCTAGTATTGGAACGGGATTTACTTTTTTGTTTTTTTTTTTTAGGAATTTACAAAATTAAATTTTGAAGGCGTCCACCTGTATAAGCGATTTTCTACATTAGGAGGTGGTAACGGATCAGTCACCGTTACGTCGTCAAACGTAACTGAGGCCCTATCATCCTTTTTCCGAGGGTTCAAGAACGATTTAAGCGTTACCCACAGCTCACTCATATCGGATCCAATGTTGCTACACTTCAGATGCTCTAGCCAATTTTTCTCCTATGCTCCTGTACCAAATGGTTGACATCTATATTCACTGTCTCTGGCTTCAGCAGAATTGGAGCGTCGAAGATCATTATCCCCTTTCACTATCCCCACTACTGTAGCTTTGATGTCATTGCTTACGTCGGAGAAATTCTGATGCTGTAAAAACATCAATTCTGAGCAAGCTCAATTTCATTGAAATGTGGATATTTCACTGCACACCATTACTCTTCCAAACCACATGGATGCCTAGCTAGCTACTCAGAATGACCACATGTTATTTATTTTACTTTCTAGTTTCCAGTTATATCTGGTTAGACTTTTCACATGTCCTTGACTATTTCCATTTATGCGTATTTCATTGGGGCATTATTTTCAAATTGAGTTCAATTCATGAATAATTTAGCATAAAATTGAATGTATTTTTTGCGGCACACAACAAATGCCAACAGACTAAGCAGCCAGCAAAAACCATGGGTGTTTTGGTCTGTAACATTTTGTGTGGCATGCCGTTAATTACACACTCCCTACACTTTCGCTAATTAACAAAGCCAAAAGAAATCATGATGGGGATGAGCATGAGCACGATAATGGTAACTGCATGGCAATGATGATGAGTAATCTGCAGACAAAAAAGCAATGCAACAAATAAAGTGAAATTCAAACAATTACAACAGCCACAACATAGAGCTTAAAACTACCGCACATCAACGAGTCTGATACAATTCAAAAAAAAGTATAAATCATTGAATTTTGAATAAAAAAATCGCTGTGTAAAATGTATTTGCAATTTTAGCACCACCGATTTCTTAAGAAAGCGAGGGCATGATTTTTCTATTAAAACTTGATCCAAGATCAAATGATCCAAGACCCAGCTTAGGGTGATCTAATGTCGACCACAAATACTTTTTGTCCTGAACCAGTGGGAATTGATTTTTAAACAGAAGATCTAAAACGACCTTAAAATTGACGTCTTCTTTATTACTTTTAAGAACATACAGGGTGAGATAAAAAAACTGCAACAAAAACTGAGACAAAAAAACTCCAATGTCTGCGGCCAAAATGTTTGCGTGACCAAGGCTTTAGTACACCCTCCAGAATATTTGAAATATTCTTGGCCGCAGACCTTGGATATTCCAACTGGACTCAGCACCATCGCACTTAGCACGCGCCACCCATGAATGGTTACAAAATTAGGTTCTCCGCTTCATTTCCAGCGCACAATGGCCACCAAAATCTCCGGATACCAAACCGTTGGACTATTGTGTCTGGGGTATTTTGAAAAGCAAGGCACTAAAAAATACCAAAGTGTCGATCACCTCAAGCAAGCGCTTAGCCGGGAATGGGCTAAAATACTGCAGAGCAACATTCGGGCAGCATGTGACGGTTTCATTGGCCGTTTGAAGGCCATAATTCGTGTCAAACATGACCAATTCGAACAAATCTTAACTTATTCTAAAATTTGATGCTAATTTCCGAATTTTTTGCTTACATTCAATAAAATTTAAATGTAAAAATTATGGCGTTTGACTTTGTTGCATATAGTATCCATTTGCAAGTTACAAATGCAGAAAGACATAATATCCTATACCACTGTGTGGTGAAGGATGTAAAAATAATCGAAAAGTATGGACTTCCTCAGGGAAATATCTTGACCTCAAGAGCTTCGCAAATCATATCTATATTGTTTTCGACGGTATGAAAATGTATGCGGAAATGTTAGGAATTTATGCAAGGCTAAAGACCTTTAAAAATGAAAGTATAGAATTCCATCAAAGAACCTGATGCAATTTCAAAAGAAAACATTTCAAAATGATCGGCGAGGGAACCTTGAAAGTTGACTTAAGCTGTTCTGATTTGTCCATAATTGGTACATTAGGAAAAGGCAAATAGTTTGCATCGTCATCATCGTAGTGAGTGTTACGAAGAGAAGAATACAAAAACAATTGAAGTTCATCACAGATACCTAGATAGCTATAAGGCAAAAAAATCCCAACTTACCTTAATTCTCGACAAAAAAATCCTAAAATCCAATTAAATGCGTGAAATTAAAACTCCACTTTGTAGAACTGTTACAGCAGCAACAGTGTGGTTGTTGTTGTTTCGATGTCAGGAAATAAGCCGCTTAAGAAACGTTGTCACAAAAAGAGACACACACACAAATAAAATCCAGCAGCAACCCACTACCTCTTATGATGTGGTCCAGTACATTCGCTGTTTTACAATTGGAAATATTTTACCTTTTCCCCAAGTCGAGTCGAATGAAGTTGAATTGTACGAATTAAACAACAACTACTACTGATATAACGCAAATATAGAGCATAAAAATGTCACATTAATTCATGATGAAGACAAGACTTGTCTGAAGTTCGTTAGTTCAATGTTGTTACTGTTGCGGCTGCTGTTACTGGGGTTGTGTGCAAGTCAGAAAGCGGTAACGACGAAATACAATCAGCAGGTTGATTACAACAAAAACAGCAATTGAAGGTTGACTCTCAAAACCAAGAGAAAAACATACGTGTGTGCTGTGTGGCTGGATCAGAGTATGTGGTGTTGTTTTTGTTTATGATATCAGTTGTTGTAGCTGTTGTTGTTTGTAAGGTTTATTGGCTGTAAAAAGTCGCAGCAGGAGAAAAGAACAAACAAAACTACCGACAATGAATACGCCGGCGACGCTGAGGTTGACGACGTTAACGTTGACAGAAGAAGAACACCTTACAATCGACGAAGAACATTGACAGCAGAGACAGGTGACAATTTGTTGTTGTTGTTCCCTTTTTTCATTCACTTCACCTGACTGTTGCAAATACACGCATGCATTCACACGACACAATCAACCGAACCGACCGACAAACCGTCCGAAAAAAAATACAAATACTATACGCCAAACGAAATAACACAGATACAACGACTACAAAGTAAAACGAGAAGAGAAACCGTTTGAAATGGTCTAAACAAAAACACGACGACGACGGCACAACAAAACAAGTATCAGTTTAATAAAATATTGAAATTAATTAACACAGAAACTCTTCTCATAAAATGGAAACGTAACGAACAACAAAATAGAATAATAGAAAGCTACAGCTTACGAATGTTGTGGAGAATCGATCATTTTTTTTTTCTTCTTTTCTTTTACGCACACACTCTCTCCTCCTCATACGCACATCCACCTATGTATATTTACGTAGCTGTATAGGTTACCGATCGATATTCTTAATGTTAATTTTCACTAAAAATCCCGTTAGAACTAATCATTAACTTGTTGCTACACACAATTGTCATTGCTATTTGTTTTCCACTTGTATTCATTCAACAATTTTCTAACATTTTGTGTGTGTATTTAATTTCACTTCTTAGTTTTTCCATCCACTTCATATGCTGCTGCTCCACCAATCACTGATTTTGCTTTTCCCCAATTCATCATTTTTTTTTTTAATTCTTCATAGATCACATACAGCAGACACAATTTTTCAAACGGATTTTATTATACATTCTTCTTGTATTTTTTTAAAATAATTGTAGAAATTTTATCTCGTTTACTAGAATTATCTTTTTTGCACAAAGATTTTCATTAATTATAAAAATTAAAGTGTTAAATTTAAGTTTTTCTCTGCTTGAAATCTCGATTCTTTTTGCCGTATTTTAACTTTTGTTCCAGAGTAGAGATTTCTAGATCGACTTTCGTCTAATCGACTTAAAACCGATAAGACACGAAAAATCAAGTTCTGGACTGTCGACTTTTCAGTCAACGAATCGTTGTTTATGTATAGTAAAAACTTCTACATTCTTGCAGTTGTGGAACAGTCCAATATTTTTTCCATTTCATATGTTGCTCTTTTCCAGAACGAAAAATTGTCACTGGGGTTTTGTTAAGTAAAAAACGATAACATTCTCCACATTGCTCTGCAGTGAAATTTTATATAAAAAAGTGGGCTTAATCACAGTATAGCTAGTTAGATCATGACATTCTGATTGCATTCTCGGAGGTTGTAAGCGGTTATCCGGTTTTTTGAACAGGGAGAGACCAAGATCTATTTACAGAAAAAATTTGAGATCGATCCGAGAGTTATAGCTGAACTGGGATTGTTCCAAAAAGTGTATACCATTTATATATAAAAAATGGAATGGAAAAACGAATCTTCAATAGGTTTAATCGTTTATCATAGTACAATTGTTTACATTCTTGCCGTTCTAGAACAGATCATTACTTTGTGGGAGCTAGAGGGTTTATTTCGGCTAGTTACAAGTGGAATGAACATTTTAAAATTACCCCTATAGGGTATGAAAACAGAGATTCACTGTATGTAACGGATGTTCAGGCTCGATAGCATGCTGACGTATACTCCGCCATTAACTTTGTATCGTTTGTCTACGTCTATCGTACAATTAGTTTGTACGATAACCAAATATTTTATTATAATTTGTGCTAAATGTTGTTCTATTACCCAAGGTCCAGCATCACCTCGAATATTAGTTGCAAAAGTTTCAAACATACATGATTTGCAATTACACCTTATAAAATACACCTTGGAAACATGCTGTTATATTTCTACAATTCAACAACCCGTTTTTAGCTCAACTAATCGATTATTAATTATCGATGTTAGATCCCTATTTCGATTACTAAGAAGAGAGCCAAAAAAATTCATCAGCAGAAAAGTTTGTGAAGTGCCTCTGCCCTATTAATATATTTATTAAAATAAAATTATTATTTCTTTGTATTATTACACACATAGCATTTGCAGAAGCTGTAAGAAATTCCCCAACACCTGCCCACTAAGACTTCAAGGCGAAAGAGTTTTGTATTGGCATATATTCGGATCAACTAACCACGAAAAAATAAAACCCTAAAAATGGTGAGTAATAAATAAATATTTTGGAATATGTGAACAAAAGTATGAAAAACAAACACACACCTCTTCGATTTGAGAGAAAGAAGAAGAAAAACTCCACAAGTATATTAAAAATAGTGAAGTTAAATGCAAGAATTTGTGGTCTTCATGAGCATTCTACGAAGAAAACGACAACAGCCAACACTGTCATTATGCGCTGCGAGGGTGGTGCATAACGTTTATGTGCTCTGCTCCTCTTTCTCTGCCGGTATTCAAATACTTGAACTCAACAGCTATGAACTATGATGTGTTCGATGATGATTCAGTTTTCCAATGTTTAGAGGCTACTGTAATAGCTGTTGTTATCATGCGTCGAATATTAAAAACAAATACTGGTTTTATCTCTGATTTTATCGTTTGGTTTCTATTTTCAGTCGGAACTACAAATGGATTGTGCTTTGGATTTGATGCGTCGTTTGCCGCCACAACAAATCGAAAAGAACTTAAGTGACCTCATTGACTTGGCGCCTGATCTATGTGAGGATTTGCTATCCTCCGTCGACCAGCCTTTAAAAATTGCCAAGGATAAAGAGCACGGCAAAGATTACTTACTGTGTGATTACAATCGTGATGGTGACTCGTATAGGTCTCCATGGTCCAATACCTACTACCCACCGCTGGAAGATGGACAAATGCCCTCAGAACGTTTGCGCAAGCTGGAAATTGAGGCCAACTATGCTTTCGATCAGTACCGTGAAATGTACTATGAAGGTGGTGTTTCTTCGGTATACCTTTGGGATTTGGATCATGGATTTGCTGCGGTCATACTAATCAAGAAGGCTGGCGATGGTAGCAAAAAGATTCGCGGTTGTTGGGACTCCATCCATGTTGTTGAGGTGCAAGAGAAACCAACCGGCCGTAATGCTCATTACAAACTCACCTCCACTGCCATGCTGTGGCTGCAAACAAATAAACAAGGTTCGGGCACAATGAACCTGGGCGGTTCCCTGACACGTCAAACTGAACAGGACGCTAATGTCAGTGATTCCTCTCCGCATATTGCGAACATTGGTCGCATGGTTGAGGAAATGGAGAACAAAATACGCAATACCCTTAACGAGATCTATTTTGGCAAGACTAAAGACATTGTAAACGGCTTGCGCAGCACGGTGCCTTTGGCCGATCAACGACAACAGGTGGCCATGAAACAAGATCTAGCCGCTGCCATTCTTAGACGTACTGTAAAACCAGAATAGAACTGAAAATAAATGCGGTTCCAAGAACCACTCAACATATGCAAAAGCAAACACACAAACAAAATAAATAAGCGAAACAACATTAAGTTTAAAGAGAAAGAGGATGATGCGATGATGATGACCAAACGCAGGGGGTATAATGATGGCATGGAAGTTCGTTGCGCACTGTAGTAAAAAATACAAACGAAAATTTGATTAAAAAAAACAAAGTTGATACATGTTATTATTTTTTATGTAAACGAAGTATTAATAAGATCACGTTTTGACTGGGCATTAAGACGTCAATCGAAATCATTTTAAACACAATCGTTTTTTGTTCTTTTTTAGGAGAATATATAAGAACCCGTAATAACAAATTCAATTACTCCCTAACACAAATGATACAACATGTAGGCCTAGTTATTTAAAGAAACAAAAACATAATTGAACATGAAGAGATTTAATAACAATTATAATAAAACAATTATACTTATAACACTAAATCGAACACGAACTAACTAAAAGCAAGTGAGTTGTCTAAATAGTGGGGTGAATTAAAGCTATTGACTACAGTAGACACTGTGGAGATGAAGGGAAAGGGGAACAAAGTTTAAAATTGTGTAGATTTACTGTGTTATGGAGCAGCAAGCAAAAAATATAAACTCGTACAAACTGCAAAAAGAAATATCTTATATGGAACTGCCATACTTCTGCGGAGCTATTCTCAACCCAGCTGACCGATAAGAAGAAGATATGAGACGCAATAATTTAACTCCATCCATCCATTTAAGATATAAGTAAATCTAGGAAGAATCTATTTCATACAAGCAGTTTTGCAAATTGAACCAGGCGCCAAATTCTCTCATTCGATATCGAAAAAATTTTGTCGAAATGAATTTAAATGCCAATTTTAGCTTGTTTTAACTTAAAATTTCTGTAGAAACGACAAAATATGTTAGAGTTGATGTTAGAGTTGAACACTATTATTTTTCCTTTACGATATCGAAAAAAATTGCAAAAACTGGAACAAAGTGGTATGTTCCAGAACGACAAGAATGTTCAAGTATTTACTACGATAGCCGATTTTCACTTTATGATATCGACCAAAATTGCAAAACAACTAAATTCTTGCAAGAAGTGAAGTGAAGAAATGCAATGGTATAATGAGTCGTGACGACTTTAAAAGACTGGGTATGAACAGATCTTATACAAAAGTAGTAGCAATGTTCCAACAAAGAGACCTTGTTGACCTTTTATAATGGGTATACATGGTGAGTAAAAAAACTGCAACAAAGTCAAACGCCATAATCTTTACATTTTTTTTTTAATTTTATTGAATGAAAGCTAAAAATATCGGAAATAGCATGATATTTTAGAATAAGTTTGGATTTCTTCGAATTGGTCTCCTTTGGCACGAATTATGGCCTTCAAACGGCCAATGAAACCGCCACACACTGCCCGAATATTGCTCTGCGGTATTTTGGCCCATTCCCGGCAAAGCGCTTGCTTGAGGTGATCGACACTTTGGTATTTTTTAGTGCCGACCTTGCTTTCCAAAATACTCCAGACACAATAGTCCAAACGGATTGGTATCCGGGGATTTTAGTGGCCATTGTGCGGTGGAAATGAAGCGAGGAACCTCATTTCATTCTTGGGTGGCGCGTGCTGAGTCCTGTTGGAATGTCCAAAGCCTACGGCCAAAATGTTTGCGTGTCCAAGGCTTTAATACACCCTCCAGAATGTTTTCGCGGCGTTTGAGTTCTTGTGGCCAACCGAAGGTGCACATTTTCAACTGACCTCTTTGGCAAGTAAACATGATCATTTTGTTTGTTTACAAACTGCTGGACAACGAATGTTTTCTCATCCAAGAAAACCAAATTCGTTCACCACTTTCGGTCAAGCGAAGCAACTCTTTAGCTCTTTTGAGTCTATTTTCTTTCTGTTGCAGTGTAAGTTCTTGCACTTTTTGGAATTTCAATTTGATACGGCCAAAACGTGCTTAATCGAAATAACGGTTTTGGACATTAGGTCTCTTTGGATCAAATCCATTTCAGGACATTTGGAGTCGATCTAAGGGTGTCCGTGCGTCTCTCTGTCATGATAACTCTCGAAAGCAGTATCCGATTTGGTCCAGACTTGATACTTTGTAATATTATTATCAACCTTAGATCGTGTTCAGAGATGGGCAATATCCGTGCACTCCTTCTGGTACCTCCCACACAAAAGGTCGAAATTTTCAAAAAGTAATATTTTACTGCACAAAAAGAGAAAGGATAATCCGATTTTACTTCAACTTTGCAAATCCTATACATCAGTGCTAGGTCAGGTGCGAAATTGAACAATATCGGTCTACTCTATAAAGTACCTTCCCCACAAAGGGTCAAATTTTTGAATAATTATAACTCGTTTGAACTGTGATGTAAGAGTCTGACTGACTCCAAATTACACACATCACAATATTTTTATGGACCAAAGTTCTGGTGTGAAGACGGAATATATCTGTCAACTCCTTCTGGTACCTCCCCCACATAGAGTCAAAATATCATAAAACACGAAATTAACATCTGATTCCATTCAGACTAGGTACATCTCAATATTTCCATTTACACAATATATGTTATAAAGATGGTAGAGATCGCACCACACCTTCAGGTACCTCCCCCACATCGGGTCAAAGTTTTGAATATCTAAAACTATTACAAAACCCGAAATGAGCATTCGATTTTCTTCATATTTCACATATAGTCGACAAAGGGTTTAACATTTTAAACAACCAAACGCTCTCAAAAAACATTCAATTCTCGTCAAATTTGACACATCTGAATATTTTTATTATTACAAGATCTGGTATGACCATTGAATAAATCGGCCACTCCCCCTCACGCACTAAAGGA